TTTTCTCAACAAAAAAATTTTTTTTGCAGTTAAACCCGGATACCTGGAAAATCAGATTGTCCTGGAATGAAGGGCTACTGCACGAATTCAGCGTATCTGTCTCTTATGAAGGAACAATGTCCACTCACTTGCGGTTATTGCACCGGTAAGTTTGACCCTTTCACATGTCTCTTCTGGGTAGTTAAATCAACTCTCAAGTGGTTAGGGCCGTCAGCTTGGTGATCAGCTGTTCTCAGGGTTACTTTTTACTTCTTGACGTTATCTGACACCTGGGATCATGGAACGAAAACCAGCAAAAAATCGGAAACAGCTGATTTTGCTACGGGAGATGAACCTATACACTTGCACAAACCTCAGCATTTTCTCGAGAGATATTGGAGAAAGCTCAGTCTCTTAAACAGGAAAACGGAGCTGTTCGGCTTGAGAGGGGCACTTTTCACTTTCGGCAGTTTGTTTTGCTGTTTTATGTTCAATGAACGGGAAACACTATAGTGAGATTTGTGAACTGCTGCGAAGTAAATGAGCTTCGTTATCCACAAAAATTGATGGCTCTCCTGAGGCGGAAGTGGTGTAGTGGGAGGGGCACGCTTACCACGTGCACGGTCCGGAGATCAAATCCTAGACCCCCGCCCAGTCTGAACCGAACCCTCCCCCCTAGGACGGTAAATTGGTACCAGATTCGTCTGGGAGGATAAAACACTGACTTGTACATCGGCTGGCCACCGCAAGTCATTGTATAGGCCACATCGCATTCAATAAGCCACTACGATTCTGAATGGAAGTAGAATGCGGGCCGGCTACCACAAAAGGACTGATCAACGGCGAAGACTTCATCGCATTATCCATTGACGAGTTCCGCCGCAGCAGCATGGCCCGAACTAGCTTCGTCCAAATTCCATTTTGTATTGGCGCCACTAAAGCAAAATGGGCCAAGAAAGCCCTCCCTGTATCGACAATGTTGCAACAGCCATTTATCAGTTGCCATATCATTTTTCAATCTCTGGTTTCGCAAACTAAGTCACTAGCTCGCTCTGGAGGATGACAGCGCCCTTTGGGTGTTGCGTATTTTTTTTTTTTTTTTTTTTTTTTTTTTTTTTTTTTTTTTTTTTTTTTTTTTTTTTTTTTTTTTTTTTTTTTTTTTTTTTTTTTTTTTTTTTTTTTTTTTTTTTTTTTTTTTTTTTTTTTTTTTTTTTTTTTTTTTTTTTTTTTTTTTTTTTTTTTTTTTTTTTTTTTTTTTTTTTTTTTTTTTTTTTTTTTTTTTTTTTTTTTTTTTTTTTTTTTTTTTTTTTTTTTTTTTTTTTTTCGCGCGCGAAACTTCTAAAAAACATGCATGCTTCAAAAGAGGTACTTGATTAGTCCATCTGAGAGCGCATGTGCTTCCAATTAGAGACCATGCTCTCATTCTTGCCTCGCTGATTCTAGACACTGGCAGATGTGCACCTGGAAGGCAGGACCTGTGTGTTGTGTAAGAAGACGGCACTACGACGCGAATCCTCCAAATTAAAATGTAAAGAATACAGGGAGTACCCTGAATAAGGTCCGCAGTCAAGCGGCACGGTGTCAGGAGGAGTGGAATGAGCCAACACGCGGCTTCTCCCTAGTATTGGCTGTTTTCTACTTGGACCGGCCTCTATTGGTAGAATAAGCAGCTGCAGAGGTGATTTTGTGCCCTTTTGAATTCACCGTACTGGATTCGAGACATAGCTGGCAAGGCGCGATGGCTGGCACCACCAGGAGGTTTCCCGAGCATAACTTGCAGTTAGCTAACGCTGTGGTGGGTGTAAGCCGCTAGTGGTAGGCCTGAGACGCAGCTAACTATAAAGCGACCCGTGGAGCGAAAGAAAACGAATGGTGCCCTTAAAACGAAACTTGGGCTTCGGAAACACATGCTGTGACACCGTAATTCTCCCCCCTCCCGCGTCAGGCACCGCGCACCCCTTTGCTTCTTCGTCTTTCATGTTCACCGAATGTTGAGGGCAAGTAGTTGTTTTTTCAGGTACTGCAACCACACCGAAGCCGTCGACATGTGCTGACATAAGAAATCCACGAACCGGAGAGAACGAATGTCCTGGAATGGCCGCCTATTGCCGTAACTCAGCCTATCTCTCTTTCATGAGAGAGCAATGCCCCAAGACATGCGGATACTGCTAATAGAAAAATAGTTTCTGCATAAAGAAGTTTTACATGAAAACAAATATAATGCGAAATACTGCAGTATCAAAAGGCATAACTAAAATATGCTTCAGCTACATGAATATGATGAAGAATGATAAAAAGGGTAGTGAATAAGCAAATAAATAAGTGAAAGAGTAAAGTATTAAGACAGAGGCTTTTGAATAAGATGCCGCTCATGGAGGTGTGGCCATCCTCCTTCCATTCAAATCCGTAATAATGGGTTCAGAGCGATTCTCTCCTCTAGTTGGCAACGAAGCATTCTTCTTCTGACAGCAAAGCAGAAGGAAGAAGGACTTGCTTTGCTTTGAAGAAATTTGCAGGCGGAGGTAGTACTCTGAAAAAGTTTCGCCAGCACTACCCTCTTTGAGGGGAGAGAACCTTGTTAGCTAAGACGGGAGAGACTGGACTATCGGACCATTCGGGCTATTGGGGTTGCAGCCCCAAAATGACGTGCTTACCTCACCATGTTTGGTGGGGTAAGCACGTCATTTTGGGGCTGCAATCCCAATAGTTCAGCACTCTTCAACAGAAACGATGCGTTACTGATTTCGGAGAAGCTTACAGTACTCAAGGAAACGGTAAATTCGTAAGAGTTCCCTATTGCTCATCACTTATTAGGTGCAGAGGCTGCTCTGCGCGCCGGGGGAGGGAGGTAGTTGGATTGTCCCCTACTGCGCACGTCATGGCGTCGAGGAAAATCGGTCGGTAAAATCCACTCATCTCTCCACACCTGCCCCGAATATGACCCCTTTCAGTCTAGAGTCCCCTTTCATCTACCAAATCCACCCAGCACTTATTTACTATGAAGTCACTTGATATATACACAATAGAAAGAATAAATTTCCCGCTCTTTGAAATTCCCAAAGTACAGAGTCAGTTGGCTTCAAAGCAAGCCAATCAGTAAGTCAAATGTTCCACCTTCTCCCTCAAAACACTCTAGTACAACTCCCCCTCCTCGAGGTTTTGTCAAAGTACGACATGCTCTGATCCGGTATTCCGGGCGCTTAGTGTGCCATTTGATGGGAGAGATGTGAACGTTCCCCGAATGGTACAGCACGTGGTCCTCCTAGCGTGCCATTGCGTGACTAGAAAACCCAACGGCAAAGGTGTGAGAGTTTGGATTGGAGCCAAAAGCTAAGAATGCGATCATACTTCGCGGCAGCGTTTTGAGCGCTTCGAGGGCTTTGGGCGGCTGGGAATGTATATGTTATAGTAGAAATTTTCACCGTTACTGTTGTGGTATATGTTAGCTTCACGGCTGAGTCCAGGGCA